CCCTGTGTGGGCGGGGTCTCCACAGGGGTGTGTCCGGGTAGGGGGGTGGACTGGCCTATGGGGATGCGTGGTGAGGGGTGGGGGCGGAGCCTTGCCCTGGCGGTGGGTGGGGGCTGGCGCTGTGGGCGGGGCTGCATTCCAGAAGTCGACGGGGCCTATGAAATGTGGGCGGGGCTGTGCGTTGGAAATGTATGCGGCTGGGGGTGTGGGCGGGGCCTTGCCCCAGAAAGGGGCGTGGTTTGGCTGTGTGGGCGGGGCAGGGAGCTGGTGCCAGGTGGGCAGCCGCCTCCAGCTGCCTGCGGCGACAGGGGCAACTGGGAGGTGGCGGGGACGCCTGTCCTGCCCTACAAGCAGGGGCCCTGGTGCTCCCTCTGCACTGCTGGCCTCTCCGGCTGCTTCAAGTCCTGGGACCACGGCGGTGGGCTCTGCGGTGAGTCCCTGCAGTCCCCCTGGCCCCTGCGTGGTCCCCAGCCATGGCGTAGCCCTAGATGCCCACGCCGCCTCTCTGCTGTGCCCAGAGGTGCCCAGGAACCCCTGTCGCATGAGCTGCAGGAACAGCGGGCACCTCGACATGAGCAGCTGCCAGTGCATCTGTCCCCCCGCCTACACGGGCAGGTACTGCCAAGGTGAGAGGCGCATCCACGCGACCCTGGCCTCCCCTCACCTCTAGAGATGCATGTGCATGGCCAGTGCAGTGCATGTGTGCAAAGGGTTGGTGCAGTGCACACGTGTACATGGACAGTGTGGTGCATGCATGTGCAGTGTCGGTGCAGTGCACGTGTGTGCGTGGATGGTGCAATGTAAGCATGCACAGGGTAAGTGCAGTGCATGCGTGTGCATGGCTGGTGCAGTGCATGTGTGCACAGGTCCAGTGCAGTGCATGCATGGGCACAGCCAGCGCAGCATTCATGGTCTGCTCGGTGCCCGTGTGCACACAGCCGTGCAGCACATGCGTGCACAGGGTCAGCTCAGTGCGCTCGTGTGCGCGGGCCGTGCAGCATGGGCAGCTCAGCTCAGTGCCCCGGTGTGCAGCGCAACCTAAGTTGGGGTGGGCAGAGGCTGCCGACCGCCCCCCCCCGCCAGCTAACGCAACACCTTCTTCCCCGCAGTAAGGTGCAGCGGGCAATGCCTGCATGGGAAGTTCAGGAAGGAGGAGTGCTCCTGCCTCTGCGACGTGGGCTACGGCGGAGCTGAGTGCGGCAGTGAGTCTGCACCCACCTGCGCTGCTTCAGGGTGGCAGCAGGGATCTGCAGGCAGGGACCCCTGGAGTGGGGCTAAGGGTCCTCTGGTGGGCCTGGCTCTGCCGGCACAGGGACCCACCTGCGCCTGCCTGTGCCCCCAGCGAAGATTCGGTTCCCTTTCCACGCCTGCGACGTGAGGATAGACGATGACTGCTTCATGGTGTCCTCTGAGGCCAATACCTACTATGGAGCCAAAATAAAGTGCCAGGTGAGCCCCTGGGATGCTCTGGGCATCCCTTTGCAGCTGAAAAATGCCACCTGTGCTCACAGTCCCCCTGTGAATCTCTCCGCTGCCTGGCGTTGATCTGGGCCACGTGTTTAGGGCTGACTTGCTCCCTTCCCTGCAGGAGAAAGGGGCGATGCTGGCCCAGATCAGAAACCAGAAGGTCCAGGACATCCTGTCTTTCTACCTCAGCCGCTTGGAGACTGGTAACAGGGTAACAGACACCGATTTCGAGACCGGGAACTTCTGGATAGGTGAGTGACAGCAGCAGGCAGGGCGCAGGCTGCCCAGGGTGCGGGCAGCTGTGGCACCCCATGTCGCACCCCCCCAGGTCTCACCTACAAGACATCCAAGGCTTCCTTCCGCTGGGATGTGGGCGAGCCATCCTCCTTCACCAGCTTTGCTTTTGGGCAGCCAGACAACCAGGGGTAAGTGCCTGCTGGATACAGACATCCGAACTGTGTGCGGTGTCACTGCCATGCCACAGCACTGGCCAGCTTTACCACTCTCCCACCGGGGCACAGGTTCGGGAACTGTGTGGAGATGCAAGCGTCAGCCGCCTTCAACTGGAATGACCAGCGCTGCAAGACCCGAAACCGGTACATCTGCCAGTTTGGTAAGTGAGCAGCCGGGAGCCCTCCCGCACCTTTCTGGGGGTGTCAAGCCCCAGTGGTGCTGGCCCTCGGCTCTGCTGGCTCTGTGGCCTGCTGCCAGCCCTGCCCAGACCTCTAGGTCCTTCCTGGCACAGGAGGCACTGACTCTCTACATCCCATTGCAGCCCAGGAGCACATCTCCCTGTGGCAGCAGGACCCCTGAGCCAGCAGCCCTGGCCACTGGCCAGTGCTGGCTGCTGTGCCGAGCCCGTGGCACAGGAGGACTCCATTGCCGTGCCAAGCCCAGACCATGGCTCAGGAGGACCCCCCCACGACTCCCCCACTCAGGGGACAGGGGGCTGAAGCGACCCACAGCACCAGGACCTGGCGAGAAGGGCACATGCTCTACATCAGCATCCCCCAAACAGCGTCATCTTCTGCCCCTCACCTTCCTCTGTCACCATCATGCTGTGACAGCCCCCCAGAGCAGGGAGATGCCCCCACAGCAGCCAGGTCCAACAGCATCCTTCTCCTAAACTGGCAGCTGGGCTGTGTCCAGACTGTGGTCCTGATGCAATGAGGGGCTGAGGGGGGTGTCTGGGGAGCACAGACCTTGGCATGACTCAGGGTAAGGACTCTGCTCAGCTCTGAGCCATCGTCCCAACCTGGGTGGGAACCCCTGAGCCTGGCACTGCGGGTTCCTCACCATCACCTGGGTCTTCATCATCACCCAGTTCCTCACCATCACTCAGTCCCTCACCGTCTGCCAGGTGGTTAATAAAGACCCTCTCTCCCTTCAGGAGAGCTGTTTGTCTCCTTTTCCTCCCCCAGACCCACCAGACTCTCCCTCTGCCATGGCCCGCATTGTGCCTGCACTGGGTGGCACCTCCAGCTCCATCCCTGGAGCGGTTGCTGGGGTCGCAGGAGCTGGAACTAGCCTGGCTCCTGGTTGAGCTTGTGTCTCCAGCACCCTGGGGGTGTTTTGGGGGGGTGGTGTTAGCCAAGAGCTGCTTCTTCCAGCCCCAGGACATCCACAAGCCACGGCAACCCACGTGCTGGGTGTAAGCCTGTACCCCCAGCAGTGGTGGGTGTCTGGAGGGGACACGCCACTGCCATCTGCGAGCTGGCACCCTGCAGGGACCCTCCCACCACAGAGCCAGGGAGTCACTTCCCTCGGCTGCCTTCCTCCCTTCCAAACAGCCCACTCCAGCACAGGGGCAGGGTGGAAATTAAAATGTCCCCAGCCAGGGCGTTGCATGCCAATCGTTTGTGCTGCGGCTCTACAGAGGGAAGGCAGGAGATGCATTGCCACCGGCAAGGCTGGTTTCATGGCTCTGGGGCAAGCTGGGCAAACCCGGGGTGCAACCAAGCTGTTGGCCAGGAGGGCAGGGTCCAACAGGTCAGAGGGGGCTGGAGGCCAGAGATGGGGGAAGGAGCCTGGGGAGGATGGGGATGAGGATGGAGGATGGAGGATGGGGCATAGGGGATGGAGGATGGGCATGGGGATTGAGGATGGGTGATAGGGGATGGAGGATGGAAGATGGAGATGGATGGAGGATGGGGATGGGGGATGGGGGATAGGGGATGGAGGACGGAGGATGGTCCAGCACAGCCG